GTGGTTGAGTCCCCATCCCTGGAGGTATTTAAAAGACGGGTAGACATGGTGCTTGAGGACATGGTTTAGTGGTGGACTTGGCAGTGCTAGGTTAACGGTTGGACTCGGTGATCTTTTCCAACCTTGATGATTCTATGATTCTATGATTCTATGATTTTGAAACAGTCTAAGCTTCACCTCTGAAGTTGTTAGTGCATGACTTCAGAGATGTTGACTTTGAACTCTTAATATGCTTTTAAACATTTTAGAATTGATATATGTCTAAGAGTGATAATTTTTAATATGAATAGTCTAGCTTTATGGTTTAAAAACAAGTATTAGAGAGAGATCATCTGATGTAATTTTTTTATGTTCTTCAAAGTCTATGGAGCAAAGGCAGTGAACACTCACGTCTTAAAGTATCTGAAAGTGCAGACTAACACTATTACTTTGAAGGAAGGTGTTAGTTTGTAAAGCTGAACGTCGATGTGAACATGTAAAACTTTGCATGCACAAAAGAATTAAAAGACATGGTAGAAGTCGTTATTTTCTTCAGTATATCCTCCTTTCCATTCTTTTCCTCAGGCTTGTCCTTCTTCCCTGTGTTTTTCCCTTCTACTTTTTTAAGTTTTCCAGCTTTCTAAGGTGTTTAAAGGAACTCATTATTGTTATGTTTGTTACATTTTAAGAGGTGTGTGATTTCATATCATATCAAATATTGCAGGTTTGTCATTTAAAAAAAAATAGAAAATTATTCCGTCAAGTTTAAAATTTCATATAGCTATATTTGACCTTTATAGTATAGTGTCATTTCTCACTACAAAATACAGTTTCTTCATAACTTTTTCCATAGGAAATTGCTATCAGAATCAGTCATGCATTTCTTGTGTTTAAAGTTTTTTTCTCTATTCATGGATGTAACCTATATATATCAATATTTCAATGGAATTATAGGTTAAAATGGCATCACAGCTGTAAGACAGACAGCTAGAGTTTAAAAAAATAGTCACTTGCAATTTGTGGCAAATTAATGAAGTGAGGATTATTGCAAATTATGGAATTGCTTCCAGCTGGATTACATAGCAGAACATAGAGTTTGCATTAAGCTTTTTGTTTTCTGTCTACTATAGGAAAAAATGAATGCAACACACAGCATTAATGAGTGGCTGTGTTATTCCCTTCTTTTAGATCACTCCAGTTCCAGGCACTCATCCACTTTTAGTTTTTGTCAATCCTAAAAGTGGTGGGAAACAAGGGGAAAGGTAAGGTTTATTTTCTCTTTTTTTCCCTGCTCTCTTTCTCTTTTCTGATCTCTGTGATATGTTTAAAAGTGAACATTAAAAGTTTGTATATAAAAAGAAATCCAACATTTTATACTGTTATGCCTTACATTTGAACACCCCATTGCCCTCTTTAGAAAAGGTACACACTAACATATAGCTACAATTTCTGCAGTTAAAAACTAGAATGATTTCTACACAACAGTTTCATTTCACATCAGAAAAAGTAGCTATATTCGGTGTATGGTTTTGTGTGATTTGCATGAAGATGTGAGTTGCTATATTTTGCATTGCAACTTTGAAATTATAACAGTTTTCTTTTAATCTCTGTAATAATTATGCAGGCAGGCCAATAATTTACATTGGAAACAATATTCCATTTTCTAATGCATGACTTGCCTTTTAAAGATTTAGTGAGTAAACTCTCCAACTTCTCCATAAGATTTCCTAAAGTGAAGAAACCTTTTGATTTCTTTAGATAGGATACATTCTAACAATCCAGTTAAAATATTAAAGTCCAATCGCACAAATTTTAAAGACATGCTTAGTTTTATATATGTCAGTAATTTGATTGATTTAAATTCAAAATGCCTACGTTTATGTTTAAATGATAGTGTATCAGAGGCATGATAAAACAGGTAAGGAGCATTCTCCTCCTACTCTGTCCATCAAACTCAGGCAGAAATGCTGAATTAGTTATCCCCTGAGCAGACTTTTCAGAGTGTACTTCAGAATCACAAGTGCTAACAATATGGCCATTTTTGATCATCACATAAGTCCCCAAAATTTTATAGCCTAGCTTACAATGTCAGTGGTGTAATTTATCCTTCAAGTCTTGAAAAAGGTTATGGTCTTTTGGCTGAGATCAGGCTGAAGATGACACCTGTGGATACTGGGTGATATGGGTACCCAAAAGCACAAAAGGAGTGATCCAGCATGTTTCTAAAGCTTGGAACCAAGCAAGTAAACTGCAAATGGGTCAGCTTTCCCTACCTCTTCCCCACTGCCTGTGTTAGATCACTTCTTTCAAACAATGTCCCTTAGAGTAAACTGATAAAAGGGACAAAATCCTGCAGAGCAGATGCTAGGGGAATTCTCAGAGCTGAAGAACATTTAACAAAAACTGCACTCAAAGGCTGCTGAGAGAACAGGTTATCATTAGGAGCTGATTATGTAGTCCCTGGACTGGTATACCTAGATATCAGCAATGCCAACAATGCTAGTTGTGTCAAAGGCAGTTAATGGTCTAAAAGATTAATTCTAAACAGTTTCAAGAACATGCCTTTGCAATCACAATAAAACAATATGAGACATGCTGAGCATTCATGTTCAGACACAGTAGTAGTGTGAGGTAGCCCTGGTCTTCTGTGCAGTGAGAGGCATTGTGGAAGGTAATGCACTAGCACTCACCTTGACTTTTATGTAGTGCAGATATGAAGTGAGTAGATCAGGTATCCAGTCTGGAATTATGGAGGTGTGAGGCAGGTTAGAGAGCTGCACTTACATATTAATTATAACCTAGAAACAATTTAATGAAATGCTGTTTCACAGCTTTCAGCTCCCAGCTCGTAATTGGTCTCAAGTGTTACTATCTGAATGGGCTTAATGCACAAGGGATGTCATTTAATGTTAGATATTCTCCAGAGTAAAAGCAAGTTTAAAACCTGATCCCCTTCCCAAGCTCGTATTCCTATTCACGTATTGCAGTCTGACACTTCTCAGTTTATGTTAATGCAACTGTTACTGATACCAAGCAGATCACAGGAATGATTTGAATTTAAAAAATGAATGCCTTATACACGCTTCATTCACTAACACCATTACCTACAAGTGTCATTACACAATGAAGTGTATAGCATGAGGGCATCCACCAGCAGCTGAGTATAGTGAAGTATGAGAACCTTTTAAATTGGCTTTGATGCCACACAAAATAAGATGTTAAATTGCATACTAATGTGTCAAGGTTGCACTCGATATTTCTGTGTTAGGAGGAGCACATCAAAAGGTCAACTGCATAGTCATGTAGACATATCTCAAGTCATTCGCCAGCAGGAGATAATATCTCATGATTAGATCTAAAACTAGATTCAAAAAGGTTAAAAAAAAAGAGTACTCTTCCACATATGGACTATTTTATTAGAAAGGGGTTTTTCCTTCTGCCTTTTAGGTGTTAATGTTTCATATCAATACCAGTAACATAATAAAATTATAAAGTAAGGATGTTAAGAGTGCTTATTAGCTTGAAGAGTTAATCTAAGGGATGAAAACATTTTCAGGGAACAATAATATTTAACATTTTTACTTTTCTCATTTTTATCTGGCTGCTCTACACTTCGTAACCAGAGAGGAATCCCATATTTCCCCCCCCGCCTCCAATTTTGTGGCAGTTATATGTTGTGAAAAGTAAAATCAGAGAACATTTGAAGACATAAATAGCTTTGTAAAATGCACAGTTAAGGTGATTCAAGTCAGGCTTTGTGATTATAGTGATTTTGTAATCTACTCAGGAATTGAGAGGCTAAGAGTAGAGGATAGGCTGTAACAAAAGTAAGATTTCCACAGCAGTGAGGGGAAAAAAACCCAAACCACAACCTACTAATTTTTGTAGGTGAGAATTTCATTATCTTGACTCATTCAGATTAAGGTGATCTTTTACTGAAAGCTATTCTTCAGTCTTTGCTTAGGATTTTCTGTATTTGAGAGATCACGGTGAATGAAGTTATGATTTCTAATTGACTTTCATTGAACACAGAAAGGTTATTGCAGATACTGTCAAGACTCCAGTGTTCCCACAGTTCCCCATATGAGATTTTATGCCTTGCCATATGGTAACCCAGCCCATTTCATTGCCCTTAGACTTGGAGAGACTGTATGCATCCATCTGAAAACCAGTTGAATAAATGCACTCCCCCAATAATACTCTGTCATTTGCTTTTGTATTTTGCAATTTTTTTCAAATCTCTCAAATGCAAAGGAAAAGAACTGAGGATCACTTTAAGGTAAAAAAGGTTAGGTGCTTTAGTTTTAGTTTTTGAATGTTGGAACAGAGGGATGGTGGGAGACAAATGGATATGTAGAAAAAGCGCATTCTGAACATGACGATACATTCTCTACAACCATATCTAATTACCTTATTACTATGTTTTAAAACTTCAGTTTTGTTAGAAAGCCAGAGTTTTACAAAATGTATGGTGATAAATATCATGTTCTTCTTGAATAGGTTTCTCTTTTAAAAACCAATGCTATGACTTCAGATATAATTGCAAAATAAAGAACTATGAAAATAACCCAGTTATACTTTCTTCTCAATGGAGATTAATACTTACTGCCCATCACCTGAGACGTAAATGCATTTTCAGTTTTTTGGACTTAAATGATTTAGTCCAATGGATAATACATATGCTTATAATAAAATAGAACAAAAATATAATTCAATGTTTATTAAGAAGAAAGTAGCAAATTAGAATTAAAGTTAATGAGTTTAAGCCTTTCACACACCAAAAATAGATTTTAATTAAGCATGAGACTGGATAGGAGTTCAGCAAACCCAGTCAGGTGTCTTCCTCAGGCTATATCACACTGTAACATGTTTTCAGTGATTGTGCATAAAATGGACAGGTGTGCTTAATTTAATCAGAAAAAAACTGCAGTACATCCATTTCATCCTAGAGCTAACAGTTCTGTATGTCGGTGTTTAAGATCTGACTAATCAAGACAACAGCTTTCAATAATCTGTGAATAGAATGTATATATTTAGTACATCATTGACAAAATAGTTTCTTTCAACAGAAAGAATATACAACAAGAACGTAGTGCTTCTAAAGACTGTTATTGTTAAGGGTAATGCTTCTCACATAAGAATCCTTCTAAATCATACTGTTGTTTTGCCATACTCATTACTTTGTTTTCCACTTCCCCATTTTCCAATTTATTTGCCTGACCAGCAGGTGAGTTTAAACAATTGTTTCCTTGACAAATGTGCGGTTGGATGCACTGGAGATCAGCTTCCGTACACTGACGTTTCGTCTGTGCAGTACAGGTTGATGATATATTTGACCTTTGTTGTTTTCAAGTAACTTTGGTTCAAAGTGGCTCTTCCCTGCTACCCTCTGATTAATCTGGCTTTGTAAGCTTTCACTTAGCATTGAGACAAAATGTAGAAGCAGTTTCAAATGATCTTTTTTGAATATTATATGTCTAGGAGAGAAGATCACTAGCATTCTTTTACTTTTGGGGAGGAGTCCTTGGCTTCTTTCTTCTCTGCCATTAGGATTACATTAAGCCTATATTGACCACGTCTTGGGTAGTCACCTCCCAGATGACTGAAGATGCATCCCCCAGTTGGCACAAGGCACTGCTATGACCAAATTCTTCCCCAGTGTAGTCAACATTACTGCCAGTTTTGAATTGCCAATGGGTTTCTGTCTTTCTTTTACCTCTCTAAAGTAATGATCTTATGACTTCAGAAGATAGCTCAGTCTCACTCAGCCCAAGGTGCACTCAAGAGTATTTTCCTCAGCAGCAGAGGTGTTCAAAGATGATCCCAGCCCTCTTGGGACACTGCTGCTGTAATTTCCTGCCTCCTCAGTTATGCTAGTGCAGCTATTTTGAGGTTCATATGAGACCATGGGCATGATTTAAGTAAAGGGAGAAAAAGACAATGGAGAAACTGTTCTGAGGATTTTTATTTTAAATTGAATCTGTTTAGTTTTCCAGATCACATAATAACCCTACAAACGGTTATGGAAGCATAACTGTTTGTTGATAAACTGTGTCGTGAGGTAAGAGCCAGCTGGAGGTGGTGGGGACAAGGCGTAATTTCATGAACTGGCTTTGTTCATGAAATTGCACTCTGTCACAAAAAGCTGTCTTCTGGGGCATTACCCGCTACATTGCCTCAGGGCTTTGTCTGCACAAATTTCCAGTCACAGGGAAATCATGTCCAGTTCCTTCCTTACATGCAGAAGCAAGAAGTTCAGAGATGTCAGTATCAATAGGCTATTTAGTACTGCAGATATAAAACTGGAAGGCTAAATTACCGTCCATTTCTTCATCTTGCATGTGTCATACTGTTAGGTCTAGTTACAATTTAGTGTGAGGGCAAACATTTATGGACAGTTTCTTCCTCTTTTTTGGAGAATTTAAGAATAGAAATGAACCATCAAGTTATGAATTTTACACAGACTAGAGTACATAAATATGTTACAATAACTTAAAGCGTGATGTGTCATTTGCAGTGAGTCATTATAGAGTGATTATTTGGTATTGATGTTCGATTAGTACCTGTGAATGGCATGCAGTGAATCAAGCAGGATTCAATGTAATCTCTTCGTTATTGCAGGTGGACTTCTGGGTTTTGGCTAGAGATGCCTAGGTCCCTCTTTATTAAGAAGGCTTTTATAACATTTCACTGATACCTGACAACAGTATTGTGAGTGTAGGTAATGGCTAGTATGTTTTGTAGCACCACACTTTTAGGCAAATAACTCTTAAGCCTTTGGGACTTCATAACAATACATGACCTTACGGTCAGCTACGCAAATTAAATTAGCTGCACCTTTGATGAGGTTAAATCCTATGTCACTGAGAAGCAACTTACACATACTAACTAGAAAACTAAAAAAATAGAATCCTTTTACATTGGTAAGGTGCTGCAAATTAAATGGAAATATACTGTGTTGTTAATCCACTGTCAAATGTCTGATTTAGTCATCATCACAACCATTGACAATGATGTGTGCATGCTTGCAAATTGAAACCAGTCATTTCACATTGACTTTTTCTGTCAGGAGTGGCATCAGGAATAGATGGTGTGAGTGTGTTTGAATACAATGCTTTATGAAGAAGCTGATATTGCTAAATAATTGAGAAGTTAAGAAAATGTTCCAATTTGGCAATTTTAGAGATAATTATAAAGTTGTTTGTATTCAGTATTCTTACACCTTTGTCTTCCACCTAGCCTGATAAATTATGCATTACTGTTAAGGAAAAAAAATCCTCAATGTGCACATAGATTGTGTCTAGACAGTTTTATTTTGCTGAATTTGAAAACGTGGACATTTTAACTTAAAATTCAGCTCTTATTATGCTTCTATTTTATTTAAGGCAGTAAAAAGAAAGGAAGAGATATTTCAGTGGAAAAATATATGCTTTCTTAAAAACATTAAAATATTAATTAGCTAGAGGATATAAACATTAAAATTAAAAGCAAGAAACAGGGGTTTATAATTTAAACTATTGTCATAGATCCCAGGTATATATTTATTCATTCTGAGCTCCAACTCTTTCATGTACTTGTTTCTACATAAGAAATGAACCAGCTACCACATTGTAGTCAATGTAGGAAATTACATTTCTAATATTTGTAATGAAGAAAAAAAAATGTTTGTCATACTTTTAGGACAAGTAACCTCAAATTGATAAAGTTACAGTTTGGGAAATATTCTACCATTTAAAGAAAAACTTTCTGGGAGTGGGACAGCAAATGGGGTCCCTTATGGGGTAGGACAATGCTTTTCATGCTGTATCAATAAATTGCTTCCTATTATTCAGATAATTTAAAAATATGTGTAATTTAAGTAAAACAATGGTTTTGAATCTCTTTCATTTTCTTCCCATTCAAAAATAATCCAAAGGAGATGTAGCTGACAACAGATTTGCTTTCTCAGAATATTGTTCAACCTATGGGGATGTTTTTGGTGGGTGACAAAGGCGATTTGCTTTTGCAATTAATTATACTTGTAATTTTGTGTTAGCAATAAATTTCAGGAATAAATCTGTCCTTTACCATGGAGTTACTTTAATAGGAACCAACATGCTCTTCAAAATGCTTTTTTGATTCACCTTTCCTTGTGTCATTATACTTCCTTACCCTACTTTTTTTTTCTGTCTGTATACAGCATTTGAACTGTAGTTAGCTTCTAGCACTTCTGTCTCAATTTTATGCCCATGATACACTGTATGTGTGAATTATAATTGCTCTGTTCAAATATTTTATTTTTTTCTATAAATGAGATCCTGCAATTCAAATAATTATAGTATGTGTTAACTTCTTTCTTTCATTGATAGCTTTAAAAAAAACCCCAAACATGCAAGTAAATATTTTGTCCTTGTCTCTTTTACCTCTTCAGAATTTATAGAAAATTTCAGTACCTTTTAAATCCTCGTCAAGTTTATAGTCTTTCTGGAAATGGACCAATGCCAGGGTAAGTCACAGTTAATATTATTACCAGGAACTCATTTAATAAAATGCTACGTAATCAAATGAACAGACTGAGGCACATATAGCATGTTTTGAATGTATCAACACTGCAGACCTCTGAATGGCTGCAGAAATTTACAGGTATTATTTGTTTACATGTACAAATAAAACTACGTATCATATGTTTTACTGATAACCATGCAGTACTCTATAAGAAACAGTGTGATAAATTTCATTCTGTTTGCAGCTTTTACTGCTATATCAGCAACCCGAGTTCGTGTGGGGGTTACTTTAGTTCCAAATATCATGCAGCCTCAAAGACTGACGTGCAGGACATACATTTCTATTACATAAACACATATGTGCACATACATATATGTCTGTGTAATATATATATAGTGTACATATATATTCTTATGCATGTCAGATACAGAATGTTGTTTCAAATTACAGTGGCTGCACACTCCTTATCAATTCCATAATCTGGGGGATGTAGTGGGCGGAAAATGACTGGACAGGCTAGATTATGCAGGCAGTGACTTTTTATGGGGACTGAAGTGTTATCTGAACCAGGTAGTATTGCAGTCACTCGCCTAACATGCTTGTTCCATGGTTCTTCGTATTTTGTATTCATGTGAAGACAGGAGAATTGCAGTATATCAAATACCAACTTTTGCCACCTGGAATTGTCTCCTTTTTAAGTAGTGGGTACTTTGGTAGAAGAAAACAAGATAGACCAGCACTGAGCATCTGGTCTGTGTATCATTTTGTATGTATTGGATGTTATTTAGTTATGTCACTGATACAAGTTTACATCAGTGAGAAGAGTTGCAGAAGGCTGTTAGGAGATATTTGTCACTGACATGAAGTTTACACTGTTGTTTGAATACTTTTTTTTTTAATCTTGGGAGTTTTTATTTGTTTAGACTTCTTTTCTTTTAAGTTGGAGGAAAATAAGATGAAGGTGGAAATGTACGTGGTTTGTGCCTTGCAAAGTTATATTTGAGTTGTTACAGATATATTACTGGAAAGAGTATGCTCTGGCAGTTTCTGCCAGTACTGCTGGTTTTAAGGCCAAATATACAGCAAGCTAGTCTCTTCTAAAACCATTCTACATCAGCTGTACGTTCATTTATTGTGTCAGACCTCGGATGTGTATAGCATTGATGAAAGCGAAAAGCGGATTGGGCCCAATCCTTTTTGAAGTTAGGATTCTCAGGATATCTTGCACTACAGTTGGCTAATGTGCAACCTGCAGAATGGTGCAAAACCTGCTCAAAAACTGAAAATAATGACATGCATGATTTCTTTAATGCCTTTAATTTTATCCTGTACCTGAATGCTTAGGCTGTTTTATTTCTCAAATGGTATTTCTTGTTTGTGTTTTGTTATGCTAGTCTTGACACATATGGAAAATGTAAAAAGTAATCTTAGTCCAAAGAGTAAGTAGACTATAAAAATTGCAGAAACTTATTTCAGGAATTTATAAGAAATTTTAACTGAGACAAAACTAGTAACCAATATTGTTTCTTTCATATGGTGTAATAGAAATGCCAGAGATTGAGGTGACGACTTTTAAAACAACTGAAATATTTTTGTTCAAATTAATCTTATTTCATTGAGCCTTTTTTTTTTTTTTTTTTTTTAAATCAAACCCCAGTTACTGACTACTTTTCTGTCTGTAACTGACTCCTGGTTCTCATGTATCTCGTGATGTGAAGGAAAATGTATTTTAAGGCAGAAGCACAAGAGGGCAGTGTTAAGTTCAAACTGAATCCCTGCATTAAAGCGATTTAAACTTTAGTCTTTTGCACCAGGACAGTGTTTTTTAGAAAATATTTTCAATTTCTCTTCCTATTAGGAATCTAAATAGCTTACTTCAGCGTCACTTTGAAGAAATTTATAATTAATTTTCAAACAGACACTGCATTTTACTAATCTTGTTTTGGTATATTTTTTATTCATTCCACAGAAATGAATAATCCTAAATTTCCAGTTTATCTCCTGCCATCGTTTCTTGCCCCTGGCAGTACTATGTAGGCCGCATATAATTTGTCCCTTAAGCGAGCAGTTGAATAAACTCTGTATTTCACTTACCAGTCCTTGTTTCCCTTTCTGCGAGGGCTGGATTGCCTAATAAAACCTGCCCATCCAACCATCCGTCCACTCACTCATCCATCTCTATATTGCCAGTTATACTGGATGGTCAATCAAAATATTACATTTATTTAATATTGTCATATGTGCCATTTAGATTGAATTGGAATAGAGTGGGGGATTGCACAGCACAGAGAAAAATGAAAGTGTATTCTTCACACCAGTTACTGTTATTGAGTGGAAAGGGATAAACATAATGTATATTTATTTTAAAGCATTTATGATAATTGTAATACATTTTAACTGAGTATTTTGAGATTTTTTTTTTCTTTTGAATACCAATTTCAGGCATGTTTACTCAACCTATAGAATGTTTATAATATTAGGGTAGAATTTGCATGTTTTTGGTAGAGCCAAACTGTCTGCTTTAACCCACAAGTTGATGTTTGTTTTTTATTTATGATAGTATTTTTCTGATGGGCTGCTGTCATCAACCAAGAAGATAACATTCATAAGCCTTCTAACTCAAGTTCCGAACATCTGTGGCTAACGTGAATTAATATTTCCTGTTCATTGCTGTCAAAATATCTCCTGTTTAGATAACAGGGAGAAAGACAGGAGAACTATGAGACCAGTAAAATCCCAAATCTTAGGGGGACGGTGAAACTGATGTATTTTTTTGAAAACATGAACAGCTCAATCACTAGGTCTTTCGTTCTCCCTCTTCAGTGGGATAACCATGTTCTTTCACAGAAATGTGTTGCAATAAAGGGCTCCTTAGCAGACCTGAGCTGTAACAGGGTTAAAATAATCTTTGTTCAGAGGAAGAAGGGCCACTAGTGGAGTCCCAAATTTTAATTTCCTTGAAATATGGAAATAATACATGCCATTTTCCCTTTTCAATCCTCTCCCCTAAAAAAAAAAAAAAATCAATAAAAAACCCCCAGAACCCCACCACCGCCACCACCTTTCATTGTATCGGTTATTGTGGCTTTTTTTATAAATAAGCTGGCATGTAGTAAGTCAATAGAAAAATATTGTGAACAAGTTGACAATGAATTTTAGTATTGCTATCTGAATGTGCAATTACTCAAGTGGATGTGTCACCTACTTTCATAATAGATGGGATGGTACTTGGAGAACTGCAGGGACAGCAACAAAGACGTTTCTTGTAGCTTCTTAGCATGCCTAAGCTAAGGTTTTCGGAGCTGTTTATGTCAAGACTCATGTACATAATCTATGTAGAAATATGTACATGCTGCAAATAAATCACACAGCACCCGACTCTCTGACATTGACTCCTTTCCAACAACAGAAACTGACCTGCTGCGAGGCCTGAAAATCAAGGAGCTCTCAGCCAAAGGGCAACAGTACATTTAAACACTGGTATAATAATTAATGGTTTAGACATTCTTTATTTGGGAGCAGAGAGAGAGGGTGAGCTGGAGCAACTCTGTAAGCTCTGCAGCTGAACACAGGCATAAAAGGTACTCCACAGTTGTAGAACTGCCACAGTTAACAAAGTGACGTGAAAATTGCCAGGCTGATACATTGTGTAATTTGTGCCTAGCACCTGTGTTTTTAGCCTTGAAAAGAATTTCCCTGTTTGGTTGTTATATCTCTATAGGAGTCTTCTACTTCTGACAACAACTGTTATTGTGGATTTAATGATCTTGAAGAATCTGAAATTCAGTTATTGTTCACCTCACAGAGAGGTAAATAATAGCTGGATGAATAGCAGTCAAGCCACAGACCCACATGACTCTGTAGAGAGGTCACCATTTCACAAAGGCTTTGTCCCTCTGAAAAGGCTCCTGTTCCCTTAAGTCTATTATTTAAAATGTCTAATTTATGTTATTTTTATACTCTATAATAGAAATGATATCCACAAAAGTTGTATTTCTTTGTAACTCCCTTAAGCATTTAATTTGGAGAGCATATCTTTTTTAAATTCTATCCGCAAGTTTACCTCAACAGGCCTTTTTAAATCTTAAATTCTGTCCACTTAAAAGATGCCCAAGACAGCCAAACTGAATCCTTACAACTTACTCTGTAATTTAGTTGGGAATCTACAGCACCTGGGCCTTTATAACTTCACAAAGCAATAGGCCTATTTTGAAAATTACACTATTTTCCTTGATTATTGGAATTGATTGCTAGAGCATTTCTTTGCTGTTGGACATTTGGAATATACAAAGTATTCTGGGAAGACGTATACACCAAGAATATTTTTAGAACGTAAGAACTGTATAGTTATTTTCTCCTGAACAAAACCGTGAACCTGGTCCGTATTTCTTTGGAAGAATTACATTTTTGCTAAAGAATGGCAAAGCAAGCCCTAATGGGTTGGTTATACTCTAATGATTAAAGTTATAGTTGTGCACCATAAATCAGTAGTACTTACAACTCAATAAGTCTTCACATGTGAAACTTAAACCATGGGTTTAGGGATGTGTTTTAAACAGCTGTTTAACAATATTTTTACTTGTATGGCGACTGTGGTGTTTGCTGCATACATAGCACAAGCTTTAAATATTGTAAATATCACCAATTTCCACTCCTGTCTCTGTCTAGGCTTCCGAAGTTGTGAGCCAGATTCATTCACCTCTCTCTTAACCACCGTAATTGTTCAATAGTGAGTTTGCCACACCCTTACAGCCTTTGTTGGAAATTTGTTTTAAAAGCCTCTGCCACATCCTTTAGCCTGCTTATTAGTTTGATCTTCTCTCCTTGCATCCCTGAATTGGTTCTCTTTTCCTGGTCACCCCAAAGTAAGCTTTTGACTATCACAGTTAAGTTACTTCTGAACGTATGACATCTAGCCTCTTTCCTCCACCCACTACCCAGCATATATTGATTCACTTTTCCCACAAATGGTTCTGTATTTCTTCCTCTGACTGGCATCTC